GAAGTTGTTATACTTTGTTTTCTCAACTTGGCCAAGTTTATAGAAATACCTAGAGGAGCGCAACTTGTCCGGAGTCCATAGTATGCATGATAATTTCCAGAGTCGCAACGTGAAATTGTTACATTCCCAGACGTTTCGCCGGCATCGTCAGCTAGCGTTGCCATTCTTAGCACCACACAAAAGATCGTCAAAGAGACAAGGAAAGTCGGTTCTATGACCAATTGTGTGCTAAACAACTGTAGTATTTCTCCTTCCACCAAAGACTACTCACCAATCCTATATCCTCGTATTACCCTTCACTATTACACTTTCTTATTTAAATATAGCATGGTCGGCCGTTTTACAGCAGATACATGAAAAATCTCCAAATTGATGCTGATTGCCTCACTGCCTTACCACACAATCGTTTCCCATAGATCTTATCAGAGTGTCCCACTTGCCCCATGGGATCCGCCTCCTACCTTCCAGGTTCAGGTAATTCATTTGACACCTCAAGCCTTTGATGGCAGACATACTCCCGCCTCGCTGAGTAGTCCCCTAAAAATCAGGATTTTTAAGCTGGATGGGAGAATAACTTGAGGTCAAAGATCCTGAATAATTTTCCTCGTCAAGCTTTTGCTTCATGGACTACGTCCATGATCATACAAGTATACAGTTAGCCAACCAGCTCTAGTCTCCGCCGCATCTATCGTGCTTCTATCCATAGTGCCAAGTCTATGACTTTCTATGCCTTAGTTTTTCGTGCATTAACCCAAAAATGGTGTGATTCTATATCGAACCTAATCAAAGCAAATAGAAACACAACATAAGAGACTAGGGCATAGAAAGTCATAGACTTGGCTGTATGAATATAAGCACGATAGATACGGCGGCGACTAGAGTTAGTTGGCCAACAGTAGACGTTATATGAGATGTATTTAGCCTATTTCGTTAGAGGTGATGAAGGACTGGTAGATGAATTTTCCTACAATGATATTAGTAGAGCTAACGTTTCCATCGAATTTCACATTGCCTTGCCTTTCCAAAAGTAGTTCTTATCCAAGATGGACTGGAGTCTAAAATAAGGTGCAAAGATCTCATAAGTAAAACTTGGTCTATGGGAATAATACTTCATCCGAAATGTTAATTGACCCCTTTTTAACGATAGGAGGGTTTTTAGACAGATGAACTGGTAACTAGCAAGCTGCAAAAATGGCTATCATGCTAGTATAAAAGGCAGTTTTGTAAACTAAAAAAGACGTTATGAATAAGAAGAGATGGGACACAAGTTCTGGTTATGGCTTATGGAAGAAAGCACACAAAAAACAAAGGATTTTAATGGGAGATCGTTATCATTATACGAATGCTTATAAATTGAGTTAAATTGTTGATGTTAATGGTCGTTGTAATGAGCCAAATCTATCGACCACAAAGAGCAAATGAAATATCGGCCTTTACGAGCTGATTAGTTGTGTGGGGTACAAACAAAATTCCAATTAAAAATGTCTGCGTCTGAATAAAAACAAAATACACAAACATGAAGCAATGAAAGTAACTCACTAAAAAGTTAGTTTATTAATAAAAATGTTCGATATAATAATTACTATACTATATTAAAATGTATTACAACTTTATTTAAATAATACAAAGGGTCACAGTCTTGAGATAAAAAATAGTATATATTTGTTTGGTTCATTTCCTATTATTAACTATTAATGCCTCTTTAGTCTCAAGTTTTTTTGATCCGTTTTAAAAGACTGCGTTTTGATATCAAGTGAAGAAAGTACACTCTAAGCATGTGTTATTAATTAAGTAATGTATATTGTTTTAGTAATTATTTTATAAGTGAGATACGAGGGACTGAGCTAATTATAAATCGAAGAAATATCAAATATTTGAAATCTCTCCAGGGATATAAAATCAAGCAAAGGATATAAATATGGACTTTAATTATAAAATAAAATAAGGAATTTGACTCATGCCCTCAGCTTAAAGAATCTTTTAAATTATTTAGCCTTGATATTCTGATTTTAAGGAGTCATTTGTTAAAGCGATTTAGATAAAGATAATCATAATATAACAAAACAATGTAAAAATAAAACCTAATCTTTTTTTCAATAAAAATTCACTAACGAACGTCTTGTGGCTGAGTCAGAAACTCGTGCCAACAAGATCATACAGTAGCTATTATTTACCGCCCTTTTGTTTTATTCCATATTATCCCAATGCTAAGCTGTATTCATAATACTTCCAGAACTTTTGTCTATCTTCTTTCTTTCTTTTTTTAATTGCTTGTTTGCACCAAATCGTGAATGAATCCTCCTGACTCCCCAAGTAGAGATATAGCAGGCGGTGACTTAAGCAAGGAATTAAATTAACTTATTTACTCGCATGGCTACTACACCTCTGCATAACGACTTCTTACATGATACCACACACTTTTACAAGAGCTTCGAATCTCTCCTTTATTAATCTATTATCGACAAAATCGACATTCAATCCTCCTTGATTTTCTCACCCCCTTTACTTACAAGTAGTTCACACGGCTCAGTTAACACAAATGTGCCTGCCATTGTTATAAGCAAGTCTTATTCACCTCATTATTTTTCAATTTCAAAGCAAAAAGGTTGAACATCGCTGCACATAGAAGCTTTTGGTGGGACATTGCTAAACGAGTTCATGAAATGGCCATATACTAAATAAAAGTCATCAATTAGAAGACGATAAAAATATAGAAATAAATTTGGCGTAAAAATCTGACTAAAATTGACAGTTAGGAAGGAAAAGAACAGATGACTGATATATAATTAAGTACGTTGCGATTACTTTTTTTAGAGTTGATCTCCTCCGAGCAGTTTCAGTCATTTCAGCCTTAATGCTTTTATTACTGCCAAGAGACGAAGATTGTTCCGTTGAGATTCCCCATCCCGATGTAATTAAGCTTCCTGCTGAATTTTCACGGCTCTTATCTCCACTTGATCGAGGTTCCTGTTCATTTCGACGTCTTGCCACGTGCAAGATTACGCGATCAGGGTACTGTTGCAATAGTAACATGGCCTGGCTCAATGTGTATCCGCGGTGCACCGGGGTTCCATTGACTGCTAGGATACGGTCACCGGGGCGCAGCTGACCACTGGCTGCTCCTGGATCACCGGGTGTGAGTGAGTCAATTAGAATTGGAGCCCCAGGCGCATCATCAGTTCCTGAAATCACAATACCCCATGCACATCCTTGCGACTCCCGCACAACTTCTACGCGCAGCACATCAATTGTCTCTGTAAAGCCACTATGGTTTGTCAGCACTACAGTTGAGCTGGTACCACCGCTATGCGCAGTGATTACGGCTTGTCGGCTTGCAACGGAAAGAAATTCAGCCTTAGACTTGCTTTGAAATGAACGTCCATCAGATATGGATTGGGCTTCTGAGATTGCAGCACCCTCTAAAGTTAAAAGTATTTATAAAAGCTTTTCGCAAGTACTTTTAAATAGATTCATACTATATTTTGCTTTCAAAAAAGAAATACGCAAAATTTCAAAGCAAAAAGCATTTTAGGACTGCATGAGAAGGCTTGTAATTTTAATATTAGTAATATGCGACGTATTCACCCTATTTCGTTTAAGGTATTGAAGGACTGGTAGTAGAATTTTCCCACAATGATATGAGTAGAGCTGAAGTTTCTATTAAATTTTACATAGCCCTGCTTTTCCAAAAGTTTTTCTCATCCAGAATTAAACCGCAGTCCACCCTGGATGTGAACGACTTTGGAAAAGCAAGGCTATGTGAAATTCAATAGAAACGTCAGCTTGACTCATATCATTGTGGGAAAATTCTACAAACAGTCCTTCATCACCTTAAACGAAATAGGGTGAATAAATCTCATATTACTGATTTAATGGTAGCCTCGAAACTTTGCTTATATATGGTAAATACTTAATATTAGTAACTTTGGCATTATATGAAAGTGAGTGAGTTTATTAGAGGATATTATGAACTTGCAGATTTGCTCGGCCAGATTATTGAGTGTTTTAGTTAAGATGATGGATATATTAAATTTTTTAAACAATATTAGTTTTTACAAATCAAAATAGTTTAAAATTAGATATAGAACAATATGAAAGGTTGACAGAGTACACTTCAACATAACAGTTTTGTATCTCCAACCATAATTACCTTTATTATATCTCACTAATTTATCTGATATTGTATACTATATTTTTGATTTGATCAGTTAAAGCTAATTAATTTCGTATAATCCTAACAGGAAGGTCCTAAAACGCTAAATTAATAATGCAAATGGCTTCAATAAAATACTAAAATAAACACTTCATTAATATAAATGCCATTTTCCAAATTCTCAAAAATAAATATTACTTATATTTTTTCGAATTAAGTATTG